TTCATATAACCCACCTTCTCAGATTATTTGCTCAGCATACAGGTTGAATAAGTATGGTGAAAGAATATAACCTTGTTGCACACCTTTCTTAATTTTAAACCAGTGTTTCCATGTTCTGTTCAAACAACTGCTTCTAGGTACATGTACAGATTCTTCATGAGCACAATTCAGTGTTCTGGAATACTCATCTCTCGCAATGTTGTCCGTAGCTTGTCATGATCCACACAATCATCAGGTACCGTCTAGTTATTTCTGACAAGAGACTGAAACACTGCCCAGTCCCATGTTAGCCTCACAATTGCTGTTATGTTTGAGCCCATTGTTGATTCCACGATGTAAGTTCATCTTGTTGAAGGTCTTCCTCTTTTTCTCTGACCCTCCACTTTACCAAGCTTGGTGTCCTTCTTCCGGAATGATCCCTCTGGACAACATGTCCAAAAGATAAGAAATGAAATCTCATCATCCTTATTTCTGAGGAGCATTCTGGCTGTGCTTCTTCCCAAACAGATTTTTTGTTCTTCTGACAGTCCATGGTATTTTCATTATTTTTCTCCAATTCAAATGCATCAATTATTCTACAGTCTTCCTTATTCATTGTTCAACTTTCACATTCATATGAGGCTATGGAAAACACCCTGGCTTGGGTCAGGCAAACCTTAGTCCTCAAAGTGACCTCTTTGGTCTTTAACACTTTAAAAAGGTTTTTCTGCAACTTTGCTCAATGTTTGATTTCTTGACGGCTGCCACCGTGAAATTTGATTATGGATGCACGTGAAATGACATCTTTCGTAGTTTTAAGTTTTTCTCCACTTACCATGATGTTATTTATTGGTCCAGTTGTGAGGACTTTTGTTTTCTTTACATTAAGGTGTGCAATTCATACTGAAAACTATAGTCTTTGATCTTTATCAGCAAATATTTTAAGTCCACTTTGCTTCCAGCAAACAAAGTTATGTCATCTGCATATTACAGGTTGTTAATAAATCTCCAATCCTGCTGCCATGCTCTCTCTTTTTCAGATAATCCTGATTCTCAGATTATTTGCTCAGCATGTAGATGAATGTTGTTGTTGTCAGGTGCCGTCAAATCAGAACCGACTCATAGCAACCCCATGCACAGCAGAACGAAGCAATGTCCGATCCTGGGCCAACCTCACTATGGCCGCCACACTTGATGCCATCAATGATGCCACCTGGCTGATCCATCTCGTTGGGGGTCTT